AAAAAAATAATTATTATTTTAACATAGCAGTATTTATTAATAAATGATAAATAATCATTATTGAATTTACTAATGAATTTTCGTTCAGTGTACCTGTACGGCTATACGTACTTTATATATATTTCAAATGGACGTTTAAAATAAATTCAAATCAAAAAGTTTTTGACTACCTATATTTTTATGAGTTTTTAAAAACAAATATATAGATAATAAAAACAATATTTTTAAATACTCGTTGTCTATACTCGTCTATGATATACCAGGCAAGAGCCCTTTAAGACCGATACTTGTTTCTGTGAGTTTATTTTAATTTTTTTTTTATAAATAGCTAAAATATGTATTTGAAGTCTTTATATCAAAATAACTTTTATACCTATACCATAATCATGTTTAAWATTTGTAAATTAAAATAAAATCGTCTGGTTCCTTAAAAATAATAATAATTTTAACGGAGGCAATAATGATACCTCAGGAGACATYTTACGCACGTTRACAAACAACATTTGGCTTTTACCTGTCCACGACATCTCGGGCTTCCGCCGTGGCCGGAGTCTTGGTTTTCGGATCTATTATCAGTTCTATGCCCACAAACAGTCCGACACCGCGTACGTCTCCGATCACGTCCGGGAACTTTTGTTGCATGTTTTCGAGTTCGGACAGCAGGTACCCGCCCACGTCTTTGGCGTTGTCCACCATCCGTTCTTCGTCGACGGCGGACATCACGGCGATGGCTATTGCGCACGACACGGGATTTCCGCCGTACTGAAAAACCACACGAGAGTTTTTCGCCGTTAACTTGGATTAACTTGAATCCTAGTTGGAATAGCGGAGTAACACCACTATACAATAATAATCTGTTATTGATAATATGTACATACATATTATAATATTATGATAATATATTAATAATAATCGTGGATGATGTGAGTAGCTATAGGATTTTAGAATTGGCTCCACATGGCTCCACATGGTTGCATTAGATCCTCGTCACTATATACTCGTATTACTAACAGGTATATGTTTGTACATCAAAATTGATAAAAAAGAATGTTATTATTAATTATATACATGTACCTACTGAAAGTGGAATACACAGCGCTTGAGTGGTGAATTTTTGAAGAAATTGTTGTATAATTTATTTTTAGAAAATATTTAAGTACTACAAATGCAGTCGTAGCAACAGCAAATCATTTTTTAAATTATTAATTCTGGGTTCGATCAAAGATGTTTTTGTAAATAATGAGGCATAAACTTTATGATGTGTTTGATACGTGTTAACATTGATACAGGATTATTGAAAACCCAAAACGAGTATGGGCTATATTATCAATGTCGTGATGCTGTATATTATATTGTAAATATTTATGTTATACAGACAGAGTAAAAAACTCTTCAACGTAAATCTTACATAGATAATAATTAATATTTTACTATAATATCTTCAACCATAATATAAGGGCCTAACCTAACAGTAGTGTATATATACTCGGGCTATTTTGTTGACTATTTTGATAGATAACTTTTTTTTTGAATTTCTTCATGATTATTATATAAATTATATATATATAATATATATGAATGTATATTTACCATATAGATATACATATATACCGAATACAGTATTTAGGTAACCAAAATAAAAGAAACAAACTAACAATTATATTTTTTTTAAATAGAAACAAACGGCGAACTAGTGGCGTTCCATTGAGACGCACCTAATTTACATATTTTCAGACTTGACATATGGATCAAATAAAAACGCATCAAATCACTCAAATCACGATTTATAGCAAAAAAAAAACACTTATTTTTACTCACCGTGTTAAAATATTGAATACCAGTGGCTTCGAAGCTGCGGGCCACGGCTTCCGTGGTGATGACGGCAGCCACCGGATGCCCATTGCCCATTGGCTTTCCAATGGTCACAATGTCGGGTAATACGTCCGGTCCGTCGATCTGGAACGCCCAATAGTGCGTACCCGATCGGCCGAATCCCACTTGAACTTCATCTGCAATACACACACCACCGGCTTCCCGCACATATCTAAAATCAAAAATAATACTCTAATTAGTAATTATCTAAAACGTCTGGCGACCATTTACATAGGTATACGAAGAATTTTTATATTACCACAYACGTTTTCAATTTAAAATATCAGTTTTATCAAAACGCGATTTCGAAAATACTGATATTGCTTGAACTTATCGTAAGTCTTAATTAATACWAGGATTTCTWGGTAATCGTAACATTTTTTACATTTTTTAAATACATTTCAATATCATAAAATTACATTCTCTCGGCGTCGTATATAGGCAACTTAAGGTTCGCTATTAWACAATAAAATACAAAAWATTAAACCTTTATAGTTTATAGGATTAGAAAAACTCGTAAATTCGTGAACAATTAATATATCTATAGAGCACAGACTACAGATCCGCTTTTCTTTAGTTAGGTGCAATAAACAAATTCGTTGATTTACAACTTATTTTCTATCAGCAACAATATAGTAAATATTTCATCATTTTCATTACGATAAAATTGTTTAGTTAAGTTATTTCAAGCCATTTTTTTCTAATTGAACCTTAAGCTGATGATAAATTTACCAAATTTTAGTTGAAAAAGTGTGTTTCAAATTTTTAACAATACTGGCATCATACATGTAACAGTGAAATAATCGTAACGAATGATCTATAACTATTTATTTCACCTTTTTATGCAATCTTTTGAACTTAATTGAGATTYAAGTCACTTACGTRTAAACATCTCGCAGATAATTATGTGGTAATATAATTTGGCCACCACAGCTTTGTAAGCTTTCTGCGATGAAAGCGCACACTTGTTCACCGCGTTGTCCAATCACATTTTCGTCAATAATTTTTTTAACTTCCATAGCATACAATTTGCCCATATCTTCGTCGGGATGTTCATCAGCTTTTATTTTACCTCTATATACATCCGGAACTGGAGCCTATATGGTAACAACGTGTAGTGTAGATTTAAATTATATATATACATGAAAAATAATAAATCATTATAGAGTGACATAATTAAATAAAAAAATATATAAATGACCTTCGAACTTAAAATCAATCTTGAAAAACTAAATCACATATTTTCTGATTTGTAAACATTAAGAATCCACTAAAATTTAAACTCTTAAGAAAATAAAATGTCAGGGCTATTTTTAAATTATATTTAAGTTAAAACATGAATAACCTTGGATAAAAAAAAAATAAGGTTTTCAAGATTAAAACTTCCATTTTTATAAAAATAAATCGTAAAAAAGTATAATGCAAACTATTAAATGGCAAAGCCAAATTGAGTATTGAATATTAATAACTAATAAGTTATATTAATATTTATGATAGATAAAAAGAATATATGAGAGTAGGTACTAGAATGAAATTGAATAAAATCGAAATTAATAATTTTAAACAATATTATAAAATTTCTTATTTTTAAATACATACTATGTGCACGTAATCTGGTTTTTTTGGAGCTCCAGGCAAATTTAGTTTGTATGGTGATATGTCAATTAGTGAAGTCAAGTGACCATGGTACGCACTGAAACATGTATAAATATTTTTTCAAACTCTAAGTTACAGTGATGTATTTTATAAAATTAATATATTTTTATTTATTAAACTTAGGTTACGACGTTTAATTATTTATATCGGTATAAAATGAATAATTAACCACAAACATATGTATAATATATTTATACATAATTGCGATTAAATACCTATATCTCGTATATTATATGTTGTTATGAACTTATAAGTTATAGATGTCATAAACCAATATAATAAATTCAATACCATTATAATATAACTCTGTTGACAAAGATTTTTTAATCATTTATTGCAGTATTAAACCACATAATATCTAAATATTTACGTAAAGTAATTGTTTTGATAGTAAACACTATGCATTACCACAAAATATATATTRACGTTTTTTGAAAATGTTTTTAATCATTACAAAACAACATTTTTRAAAAAAACATACACTGTTCCCGCGTTCTGAAATAGGATATATTTTCTAAGAAATATTATACATAYAAATTAAACTCCAAGCAATCACTWGATTGGTCCTTAAAAATGTAAAAATAGGATTAGTGGACCAACATTTTTCCAGGGCCTTAAGCCAYTMAATTTTGCTGATTTAAATTTTAAACATACTTACTTAAATTCGTTTTAAATTAATATTTTATGTACTTATTAAAGATTTCAAAAAAATATTATGTTTAAAAATATTCTGATAGTTTGATTAGGACTTATAGGCTAATACCAAACATTAAGTGATGGCACAAAAGAACGAGCGGTATGGTAGAGTACCACCTAACACAAGCCCTCACAGGGCATGGATGCTTTTCGGGATACCTACATCGATTCGGTAAGCTACCGTCACCTGAGTGTATGTTCTGTGGCTACCATACAGAGTCTGTATTACAGACGACGCCCACCATACACTTTTCGAATGCGACACGTGGTACGGAAGAAGAAGAATTATGAACACACTAATTGGCGAGGACATCACGGCGGAAACGATGGTCGGGGTGATGATGGAATCCACCGAAAGGTGGAATGTCATGGAGGACTTCATCCACCAAGTGATGCAGAAAAAGGAGGAAAAGGAAAGGCAGAGGCAGCGAGCACGCGTGTAGCACTAATGTCAATGTCTTATTATTATTTATGTTGTACGCTGAAAGCGAAATCTAGGAGACCATAAGTCTCGATCATGTATTACAAACGTGTAAGGTCGCCAGGAAGGGGGACTGTCCCGGGCTGAGGCCAAAAATATGATGTGATTTAATTCAATAAACTATGAGGGCTGGGGGGTGAAGTGACTGACGTCAGTGCCAGCCCCAGTCCTCGGTTAAAAAATGTAAAAAAAAAAAGTTTGATTAGGTACTTAATTCACAAATAATCCACTAACAATTATACCATAAAAATTAGTAATTAATAATTACTAAAATCATTGATTATAAATACTAGGTAGTAGTTATTTATAATCAATGATAAAATGTAGGTACCTATATGCATGATTGTGATGATTAAAGACGGCTTAAACATAGTTTGTCTACACAGATAAATATTGATCAAAATAAGACRTAAACGATCTCTTAAATTATATAAACTTAATAAATATTAAACTTGTTATGACAAAGATTTTCAAACTGTGAGTCTGTGATCCACATGGAGTTCAGCCCTAGGACTCCACGACAGTGGTCTAGCGACTCCGCGGGCACTTCCAAATTAAATTCAATAATGTTAGTTACATTGCCTAATGATGATCATTCATTAAGATTAATAATTTGTTTTTAGTTTAAAAATTGAAATTCATGGTATAGGGAWGCTCTGTCGATTATTTTTAGAAACTTAAGGACTCCACGAATAAAACAGTTTGAGAACCACTACGTTATCGAATAATGATTTTCGATAATTATGATAAGTTATAGTTTTAATTAATCATGCCAATAATTTATTTGCTAGGTATTATATTTTAACCTTTCACACTTCAGACATGAAAATAGAAAATATTCTTAGAGATAATATTGTTATCTATATAGCTTATATACAAAGAGCGTAATTTCGTCAGCAGTTATACAATTTAAATACTAACACCTGACTAAGTCAATGTTGCACAACAATAAAATATGCTGAAGTATAAATATYTGAGGAAAAAACAAATTATTTACATAAAAATATAATATTGTTGAACAAATATACAATATTTCTTAAACCTGTTTCCTATATTTTATTTTTGATTTTATCGAATCACATAAAGTATTAAAACTAACAGCAAAGATAAATGTATAAGGTAATTAATATAGTAACAAATTTAACAATATAAATAACACGAAAGAAAATAGTCACCAGTAAAAACTGAACTACAATGGTATAATACAATAGCTCCCTATAACTATTGGTACTTAATTATTTGCAATAATAGTTTAGAATATCTTGAGGTATATAGTTATAGTATAATATATTTTTACATTATTCACATCGTTAAATTCTCTATCGGAATACGACACAGAATATTAGGCCAAAGGTTATCAAATGTAAAATTAATTTGGCYGAATTAAATATTTACCTACATAAATGTAAATAAATACCTTATTTATATAACATGACAAAATGATTTTTTTTCAACAATAAACATTCATTGTCTTGGCAAATCGTTTTTATGTGGTTCGAAGTAAGTATCTATTAGTAATTAGTAATTAGTAATTACCTAAATATTCACCATCACGCGCAATCAATTAAATAATTTYATTATTTTAATATTCTACCACAAATTACCCTCTCGCCATCACCAGCCCAACCTAATAATACATGACTCTGTCTTCTATATAAATAAAAATATTCGTGTAGAAGTTGTTGTACCCTTTAATTTTAAGGGTCGTAGGTTTTCTATACCTTTCAATTTATAAATGTGTAGTACCATTGGTTATAAATTAATATGGTAGTATTTACTACAATCGTCATTTTCAGGTGATCTATCAAATTTTATAAATATTTTTCAACGGTTACTTACTTATTTAATTTTTAGTAGGTAATAGTGGTAATCGTGGTAGAGTCTACAAAATATGCGTTTTTGCTAGGTAAGGTATAGTATTAATTACGTATTATAATTACCCTATTTACAATGTTAGTTAGCCTATTAGATATTACTTAATATATTTGTACACGGAATTTATACCGAATCCCGATAATTTTATATTCCTAAAGGTAGTTGATTACGATCATGTAGGTACATCTAATWATTCTAATAATAATTTTGTATATAAAATAGAAATTTAATATAGGTAATAGTCATTCTGTTCAATTCATGTTTTTAATACATTTTTACTTGATAATTTTTTTTTTTTTTTTTCTGTTATAGTTTTCGTCATTTTTAATTACTAATAAAAATAAATATCAATAGTAATTAATCAAYTGCAAAATAATCAATCAAACTGTAGATTTGTACTTGAATATTGCGATAGATCATTGTCACATACATAATAGAAGATCACCTGCTACATACTTACGAATGCCTAAATATTATGGTCACTTAAATTAGCAACCGAGACAGTTTAGAGGCATGAGCTAGGTATTATAATATTATCAATTCAGTATTATTGAATTTAACATAAACTCACTGGTCCAGTGTGATGACGTCGGTGTTGCCGGTGTGTTGACGGGCTAACCTCAATGCCAAGTCATTTGCTTCGGAACCGGAATTGACGAAGAAACAGACGGAAAGCGATTCCGGCATTTTCGACACAAGCTTCTCCGCACACACCACCAAGTTATCGTGCAGAAACCGGCTGTTGGTGTTCAACTGTTGCATTTGTTCTACGCCCGCTTTCACCACATCCGGATGACAGTGGCCAACTGSAAACAACMCATAATAATATACGTTAAACGCTGCATATATAGATAAGAGTAGAGGCGGATAGGCTCTTATTTTGTTGTGYGAAAAATGTTTAAAAGGCTACATGTGAAAATTGTACAATTCCATGACACACAAAGCGGCGGATCACTTCACTCGATAACCACAAAAATGATCTCTCTCATACAATTATTTATTTTGGCGTGAAAAACAATATTTATAAAATTATTTCGTAGAAAATTTATTTTGATTTACCGAATGATAAATATCGGGCAACTTGTTTCATAACCTATACTTATTTTTTAATACTATAATTCAAAAAAAAAAAGTAGTGTACCTACCTATCCCTGGACCTTCGATTTATCAACCATTATGGGCCTAGTGAAAATCCCTATGTCCCGTAAGCGTTGTTGTCTCCGAGCTCGTATATAACACGAGTTCATCGTAACCACAAAAGTCAAAAATATCGTGCCAGCGCTCTTTAAAGTTCTTAAGTAAAGCTAATAGTAGTATGATGTATGAACTCGTAAATTCAAAGTTTTAATTTTTTTTATCATTATTAATTTACCCGCGGAAACATAGACCTTAGATAAGTTTTTTTTAACTTTGAGAAAAGATGCAGTTGGTCTCTGACATACGTGTATGTCAACGATTTGCCACTAAGAACATGGGTGGTTCCTAACCCATCCGGGAATAAGTGGCAACGGGCAGTGCGTGGTGCATATACGCTCAATCACGTCAAGTAAATGACTGCAGCAACCGTGCCACACCAAGATAACACCGTTTTAACTTAATTTCTAGTAAATAAGCAATAAAAGTATAGGTAGGTTATTATGATATAATTTATTATTTTAATTGTCATTGTTTATCGCARCTCTACCATTACTAACAAATTTTAATGGTAGGTAAATAATAATAATTGTATTTAGATAAGGGAAAAATAAATAAAAAGGTATGAAATTGATATTAATAATTAAAACTAAAAAATAATTATGGTAAGTACTTAATCCTCCACCACTCAACGGTATCGGAATTTATCTTAATATGATGTTAATTGTTATTCTTATTATTATATACATATTATTACAAATTTTAAAATGTATAAACACTATTCATAATAAATAAAAAACCAACAAATTCCTCATCTGGAACCCTGGACACAGTAATATTGAAGGTAACGAAAAAGCAGACGAAAATTCCAASAAAGCAACAAAGTCCTCAGACGCACAAAAGTTAAACATTATACAACATATTATGCAAATTTAAGAAACCAAATCAAGGAACGCATACTTATTAAACGCTAAACTAAGAAGAATAAAAACACAATCTTCAGCTGGCCTAATTTCTCCCCCAATAGAAGGGATAAGACAACCATAAAAAGACTCCGCATCGGCCACACCCGTCTTACACATGGATACCTAATAAAAAAAGGAAGAAAACCACTGTGCATTTCTTGTGAACTAACATTCTGCCACATAATCACGGAATGCCGCCAATTTACGAATGAACGAAGAAATTCAAACGTACCCATCACGTTGGACGCAGCTCTCGGACCGGACGCTACCAGCATCGCCGACCGCCGTGTTCTCAAATTCATAAAAAAAAAACCAATATATATCATAAAATTTAAAAAAAAAATGTGTATACCAATTGTGACTAATGGCCTTTGCTGCTTATGTCAAACATGTTCAATAAAAAAATTAAAACTGAAAAGTTGCAGTACCGCCTAGGTAGTATACGCCTATTATCTATACTGTCACTGTATAGTAGAGTTGTAGAGTTTGAGTGTGTTTCGTCATTAAATAGGTCACTGACCACTTTAATGAATGTGTTCAGTTTAAATTCAATAATAATCATAGCATACAAATCTACAAACAACGATTCTTATCGAAGGCACACCGCCTCAGAATATATTTCAACTGTTATTGATTTTCATGAAAAAATTTTAATTTATATAAATAGATAAAAACGAGAAAAAATATTTTGAAWAATTCAATAGTATCTACGGTTGTTGGTTATTCGTTTTTGAGYTTCGTCGAAAATAACTAAATCGATTTGAAACACTGATTTTAATTAAGAATCCCCGTTTTTCCTTATTTTTTTTCATTTATTGTTTTTCCTTATGTTTTTGAAAACAACCAAGAATTATTTACTTTTGACCAACCAAAATATTAGCTATAGATTCACTTTCCTATCAAAAAAAATGCTGRAGTAGAAAATTGAAACACTGTTTCAACTATAGAAAAATGTTAACAGGCAGAAAAAAAGTAACACACATAATAGTAAAATCAATATATTCATCACTCCACTCATTTCTACAGAATTTAAAACAAATTATGGTAAGACCATTTATCAATCATGTATTATTCCGCTCAGTAACTAAAATAATACAATAAAAAAATTATTTGCATAAAATTAAAATTCCATAATGATTATTAGTAATCATAATATTAATTCAGGTGTTTTCATAGACATGTGGCTACAATGCTACATACATATATATGTGTATACAAATATACAATAATAAAGTATGAACCCCAGTGGCGTACCTGTGGGTGTGAGCAACAGGAGCATTCCCCCCCCCCCCNCGAGAAGTTTTTTGATGTCGTAATGCAAATTCATTGTCCAGCTTAAATAATGTAAATAATAAATATTTTTAATTTTCACTGATTAAAATCGTGTTTTTTGATATCATTTATCAATGTAGTATATGATTCATGTTTTAAGTATTTAACAATAATTTATAATACAGTTTTAGATTATATTATAATTTATAGCCTTAAAAATAGTTGTGCAATTAATTTATGCCCCCCCACCACAAAAAAATAAATATATTTTCACAGGTACGCYACTGAGGACCCCAGTGTGTCAATAATTAAACAAACAAATTACCTTGATAGGTTCCTACGTCAAAATTGAAAGAAACAAAGCCAAGAGAATCTTTAGACGATAGRTTTAAACAAAATAACTGTTCAAGGAAATCTTTGAGTATTATGATTTATTATGCAAGACATATACGATATACCTTTATCCTAATATTTGAAATCTACTAGTCGTCTCACGACTCACAACGATAAATAATATTATTTTGTTTGAACTTTGAATTAATATTAATACTTAATATGTAGGTACCTACTTACTACTTACATCTTATGATTTAAACTAGGAAGGTACTTAAATAGTAGATACATATACRACCATATTATCTACTCGTAAACTCGATCGTTGTTGTCAAGTTAACAATAACAATAAAATAATACGACCTGTAACATTGAATCATGTCTACCAATTAAGAGGTGTCTTATTGCATACACTTATTTTAAATATCCACGAACTAACGTGTTCGATTCAGATGTGCTAAGATGTCAGATCATTAAAACAATTACATTGGCATACCTAATTGGTGTATTGCAAATTAGCAGATTTATTTATATAGTATATAGATATTGGTATACATAATATATATTAATACATATTACATATATATTATATAAGTGTATCTACTAAGTACCAAGTATGTACCAAATATGGAATAGGTACAGACAATACAAAAACGTTTTCAACTATAATAATAGACAATAGTCAATAGGTAATATACAAAACATATTACCCGGAAGACATACACCTACATATACATAGGTACTATAGATTATAAAATAGTCTATTCTATAATCAATGATAGGTACTTATTTCGTGTCGTTTCGAATTTATCACTAATAATCATTAAAAATTAAGACAACATTCAATTAGGACGCATAAAAACGAGCGGTGTGCAACAATGTATATAGTAATTATTTATTTAATATTATATCGGCTGTGAGAATAATTTATTAAAAAATTTATTTAGTTAATTTATTTGTTATGATTATTTGAGAATTTTATATGGAAAATCATATAATACAGGACGACAAGTACCTTGTTATTAATTAAACATTAAATAACTTAATAATTATTATCTAAAATGTATTCTTTTATTTCAATGCAACTATTTTTTTTTTTTAGTGCTTATCCCATTAAACACTTATAAATACAACCCTACAGCCTACGTCCTACTAATGTTTATTAAGCCATACCGTGGGCTACGTTATTGATGCAATCCAAGTATTCTCTTCCGTCTTGGTCGTACAAATACTGTGCTTGGCCGCGAACAATTTTCAAAGGATTCTTCTTATAAAACAATTCGCAAGATTTCCTAAAAAATACATACATAAGCAAACCTATTTGTACAGAAGACACAAAAGATATTTGAGTGTCAATTGAAATTTAATTAGGTAGTTAGATAAAAAAAATTATATTTACTATTTTCTCATGTCAACAGTTTTTGTGAATGAATACCTATAATTATTGGTGTAAAATTGATTTTATTAAATTTAGTGAAACTTTTTCAATCGATTAATGTTTAGCCCAAATTAAATACATTAAACATTTTTTTTAGAACTAGGTAGGTAGGTAATTAAAAATCACCTATAGCCCAGCTAATTTAATATTTATGCTTAAGAAATATTCAATATTACCTACTAAATTTTGATCAAACGACATTTGGAATTATGTAATATATTAGATATTGTCCATACTATGGCTWTAAGGGTGATTTTTATAGTAAGTAAATAAGCTGTTTTAAAAAATCCTTAAATAATATCCTAACAGTATATTACCTATTTTCTTTTATAGCTATCAAGGTGGCTAAGTATAGAACTACGAACTAACTTAGCGGGTGTAAAAGCTTATAGAAGAAATATTAATTAAATAAATAACTAAACAAAACTTTAATATGTATTTAATAAGCGAAAATTGAAAGTTGACCTTTGAGGATGTAGATACTAGATATATAGTAACAAAATACTCGCACATTGTTAAGGCTTAATTTAAATTGTAGCTACGAAAAAACTATAACGTTAGATGTTGCCAGTCTATTTAACAATTAAATGTATTTTTATTTTTCAAATCATAAAATTTAAATAATAGCAGGTAGTAGGTACGTGAGGATCACAAGATATTAATAAACACGAAAAACAAATATTGGACCCAGATCAAAAAGAAACTAATTGACTATAATATAGTAAACTGCATTTTAAAAATAGCACTTACCCGACATACTTATTACGTAGATTGATTGTTTCGGTAAATGTGAGCTTTTTACTTTCCATCGTAATTTTGTTATGTTGAATATTGACAAATATTAAGAAGTTTCCTAAACAAACTACTCAGACCAATAAAAGATACAGCTCTGAACACGAGCGTTTTAATACTGCATTAAGTTATAGTTAATTATAATAACATACTCATAGATTTACGAAATGGTAACAGAGTGGATGACCTTCATAACATAATCAAAACAAGTTATCACACACAACAATAATATATGTATAATCACATAATGGCATTAATCTATCATAAATGGTAATATTGAATATTTATTTTATTATGCATTTAAAAAAATATATATATATTGTTTAATATTACAACCTCTGTGGTGGTTATATAGATAGACTCAATAATAGTAATAATAATAATCATAATAAAATTGTAAAAAAAAAAAACTAGAACATATAAAATACTGAGTGGCAGACATAGTAATAATTAAATATAATAATTAAAAGTCCAAGTGGAGTTTAAGCTTTCGAGAACATCACTTTCAAAAAATATATTTTACTAAAAAGTTACGAATAGTCATATATAAATAACTTTCTCATTGTAATTACTTACAAGATATTAACGGAATAATATATATGTTTAACTTACTACTCCACTTCACAATCAAAATATAGGACATATCCGTACGGCTTAATGTAGATCACAGTATTTGGCGATCACATGATATCTTAGATCTTCAACTTACATAAAACAAATCATGGTTACAATAAAGAAAATTGAAAAATAATTAATTATAATAGTATATTAATAACAAATCTTGATATAAAATTGAATTACTATACAGTGTTAAACGGAACATACAATATTGCAGGTACAATTGTATCATCATAATAGTATATAAGACAAAAATATATATATTTCACAACAAGCTTATAAAATGATTAAATAATATAAACCTATTCATATGATCACTTGTTGAACACTCAGTATAATACAAACAATTGATGGAATAAAATTTTATTATGTGCCTGTATTTTAATGAATTTAAAAAAAAATGTCTTTCAATCAATACAAGATATAACATATCATATCATAATAATAATAATAATATACAATAGTAAAATAATACAATAAATAATTATTAAAACAATGAATTTTTTATCAAAAAAATGTCTTATCATTTAATAGATTTTAAAATATAAACAATTAAAAGTAAAACCAATGTTTTATAAATGGCCCAAATTACAATAATGCTGGCACTAAAATTTTATTTGGTGGAAAAAAATATGATATAATTATACTCATAAAATATAAGCTATTTGATATATTGTATAAATAATATATATAATAATCATATTCATATGACAAATCAGAATTGAATTAATTGTATATAAGTATAATTCTAAAAATAAAAGTAGTCCAAAAGAAACAACAAAGGAAAACTAGCTAGGAATATGTTTAAATAATGAAAAAAATGTATCAACCCATATGATGGAACTCTAATCATACTACTTGGGAAGTTGGGAATGTATAATAATAAATGGGCTTTTTAATATTTAACAAATAATARGTTGGAAACAAATCTTTTAACATGTTACACCATAGTTGATTCTAATAAATTGATAATATTTAATTTTTCTCTAATTTATTATGATAATTTATTTTTTTAAATAATTATAAAAAACTAAATGTCAAATGAAAATGTATTTTAAGCTTTAAAGGTTTTTTAAATTAGAAGGTATATTCTATTTAACTAAATAAATAATTCCACCATTTTTCCTATTTTTTATTTTCTATATACTATTGAAATGAAATTATACTAGATATAATCGATATGGAACAAAATAAAAAATACAATAAAATGTAATATAGTAAAAAAAATAATTTCAAGATTTTAATTTTAAAAATATACACAAATTCATAGTTGATATTTGATAGACAGTAACTAGTTGGAAAAAAATAAAATGAATTTGTTAGTTAAAAGAAATCTAAATAATAGACTTTAGTAAGATTCAATAATATAAACATTTAAATGGCGCCTGTTGTCACTATCACATTATCTATATTTTTTGTTTAAAGTAAATTGAATTAATTGTATAATTATGGGAAATATAATATTATTCATCATCAATCAATGCCTATACCAAAAAAATTATATTGCAATAATACTATTTAGGTATTTTATTATACTCATAAAATTAAATTAAATATTTTATATATGTACAAAATGTATACTACTATGTATTTATTGTTTTATGGTGTTTTAATTTTCCATGATTCCTCTTGTATTCGATTAAAGCAGTCTGCTAGGAATGTGAACTATATAAATAAAAAATACATACAAAATCAGATTGATATAACAATAATATAAAAAAATTAAGTTTGTTCTTAATTACATTGAATCATATACTTACATAAGGAGTGTGTAATTTAACACATTTGGGGCTTTTTTCTTCACGTTGAAATTGAAAACTAAACAATCCATTAGTCTCATCAACCTCCCAGCATTTGATAGTTTTCCATGTGAATTCAACAATTTGATTCTGCAACATCAAATAATATAAATGCTAATTTTAATTTTATTATTGTTCTATATAATTTTGGTGCAGTTATAGGAGAAGTCTTATAAATATTTTTTAGTTTCAATGTATTTATACWATTTTTTTTAATCTAGAAAATTATTAATTTATTAAAAAAATACAAAAATCTACAACTAACTGTTTACTWATTTAAATTACCAAGCACTAACATTTAAATAATTTACTGAAATAAATAAAATTTAATTTAATTTACTAAAAACCAAATTTGTATGAAATGATAGATTAACACTTAAATTAACTTCAACGATTTTCCAACGTTCACATTCTTTGATAAATTTAAATTTTAAATATTAAAGTTTTTACATCAAGAAAATTTATATTATAAGGATAAATAATATATTTTTGCAATACAATATGATTTTAAAACACAATTTTTTTTTTATTAATCTATAAAAAAATTATTCCTCATAATTTCTAATCATCTTGTTTATACATTTTTGGAACATAAGATCATCTTAATTTTATTATTTTAAAATCATAAACATCCAGTCTCTAGTAATCATTAATTAATAAATATTACCTCAAGAGAACCATCTTCAGTACAAGCTATAAGTCTAAGACCTAAATAACCAACTGCTGCCATCACATGACCAGTCTTTCGAGAGTCACACGGACAATGTGGAAATATTACTTCACCATATCCAGGTAATTCTTTAGCCATTTTTAAATACTATAAAAACAATTTTTTTYAATTAAATTTTTTAATAATGTTTCATATTTATATACTAAAACCTTCAAAATTGTTTCATAAGCTGTGGTTAAAATAGTAAAATAAAAAATATGATGAATAATTACATCTAGTTTTTTGGAAGAATCTTGCAAAGCTTTTAGCTCATATAAACGGTCTCCTACAATGATATGATTGCGATCTACTTCGTCTATAGTACTCCAGAAAATAAATGTAGCAGCTAAATTATCAGATTCTATGAGACGAAGTTCAACAGCAGGGTTAAATAGCCATCGCTTTATACATAAACAACTAGCACTAGCCGTCCGGTAGTTTTGAACATAAAGTTGATGAGCTACTTCATTTGGTTGAATTTTCCTTTCTAATAAAATATAAGTAAATTATATTATAAATAAATAATGCATAAAACATAAATTTTAAATGTTTTAAAGTAATGATAAAAATAAACTATGCTATTATGTTAAGAAATTTTAATACTTACCAAAATTATACTCAACAATTTCAAATAGGTAAAAATAAACTGCTGTATTTTCAGCCATTTGTATTTTATCAACGACACTATTGTAAACACTATCAGCTGTTGCATTTTTTTTAGTTCTAATAACTACTATTTCACGGTCAGGTAATATTATTTTTAAATCCACTATGGAGTCAATATTCTGTATACAAAATAATGAAATAAAAATATTAAGTACTTATATTTAAGTCTAACAAATTAATAGTATTACCTGTATGTTTCCAGAATCAGCTAAAAAATCTTGCATAATTTCACATTCAGCTATTACACGAACAGCACATACCTTTTCCAAGTATAACTCTAAGCCTCTTCTTCTCGAATCAAGTTGTTGTTCACTTAACCTATTAAAAATATGCATTATTTATTGTATAAGATAAATTTTTTTATTTAGAACTTACGTAAAGGGCCATTTCCCTGGGATTTTAGGAAAACTATATCCAATAAACTCTCTTTTGAGGTTAGCATGTAAATTGGCAAATTCACTATATCGTTTTGAACACAAGTGACGACCAGCCATATATATATTGAACACCTAAATAGTAGTTTTATTTGTAAAAAAAAACCTCACTCTATTCTTATCTACAATGATTAACATGGATAGAAATAAAAGTTAAATATGCATTTTTCTTTTTAAATTGTAKGGGAGGTTAGATCAGAAGATGTGATCTTATGATATATTTAATGTTTAGTACATTATGTAAGTAAAATATATAAAATATAAAGTAATAAACAATTTAAAACTATAAAAAAAATTTGTTTTTTTAAATAATTCATATTCACAATTATTTCTTATATTTTTAAAGAACTTATAACATTAATAATTAATATTCAGTGAGTAAAATGGGTTGTTTTTAAAATTGTATACTCAGTAAAAAAACAATGATTCCATGTAACTTAAAAAATCTAAGATAATATAATATCTAAATGTGTTATTTGTGAGCAACAATTTTATAAATCTGATAATTAATCCCACTTATTCATGTTTTCAATAACATGTTACTATGTTAGTATGATAATCAATACCATACTTATTAATAATTACTCACTAAGATGTATATGATAATACCATTATAAAAACTAAAATATAATAATCTCTCACCACATATTTGTCTCCATCTTTATCAACTGTATGATAATCTGGTACAGAAATTGGTAATGATCTTTTATCACTGTAATCTATATAATTATATGTAGATTGATCTTCACTTGGTTCAAGTCTTTCRGCTTCCTAAAATAAAATAACAGGAATTCAGTGTGATTTAAAAATTAACTAAAAATTTATTTTTAAGTTATATTTTTACCATTGAAAAAACATTGTTCTCTATTGTTACAAATTTTGGTTCAAGA